GAGGCCTGTACTGCACATCGGGTACTGTGTGCTTGGCAGCTTTCCCCCAACACAACGTACAGCTGCAAAAGTACGCGTGAAATGTGGGAGAATAAGTTTTGGGGCTTTTTTGTTAATGCAAAAGGACCTTCTAGGCGCATCTTACCTAAAATTTAGGTAAGTCTGGCTTGCTGCAGAAGAGCTCAGTTATTTCTACCTTAGTCTTTGTTGTTTGATGTGGCTTTTTCTCATTTATAAACAAAAGAAGAGAGGAACAGGTAAGTGGGGAACAGAAATCCTCTGCTACTTTAGTCTGGCTACCTGGGACCTGCGCATTGGAGAGAGGCTTCAAACCTTTGGGTCCCACAGGTGCAGTCTTTTGCTTGCTTCCTGATGTGTTTGAAGTCAACACGGTGACAGCAGGTGCTTTTGCATTTGTTGTGTGTGTTTAGGACAGCAGAATAGCACAACATTTTTGAGAAAGCATGCAGGAGCTGCCTTTGCTGCTGCTGGTCAGGGGTCAGGTGCTGACTCTGTGCCAAACTTCATTTACATCCTTTTCAGAAAGGATGAGTAACAAGCAGAGGGAGAAGGCTGTGAAAACCTGGGTCCCCCTTAGAGTAATCTTACTCATTACCATACCCACTCTTCTCACCAGGTCCCAGCTAGCAAATACGTATTTCTCAGGAGGAGATACCTGTTCTTTTTCTACCATTTGTTACCTCTTTGCTCTCTAGTGCCTTTGATTCATCCTTTATTTTTCAAACAGAATTGGGATGTCTGCCTGTGGTTCTGGCAACAGGGTTCGAAAGAGCTGAAAGATGCATGGTATAAAACTAAATGAGAAGAATCATTTAAGTTATTTAAGATTTCTTTTTGTTCTTTCAGGATCCTTACAGAAGCAGAGATTGATGTGCACCTTGTAGCTCTGGCAGAGAGAGACTAATTAGCATTCCCATTTCCATTGTCTGAGCTTCTGGCCAGGATATTTGGTGAAAAGAACATGCTTATTAATGGCTTTAGATTATGGGTGGAAAACAATGTTCACTATATGATGTATTTTACTCTGTACAAATAAAACAGAGGTTTTTGAAATACTCGGTGTAATGTAATTCTTTAACTTCCAGTTCTATGAAATTTTCATCAAAAGGCTTGATGACTTTGAGTGTTTCTGTGGTGATTGCTTGCCTTTTAGTTATATTTTAAGAGAAATTTTATTCTCTGCCCTATATTTTTCATCCGGGCTATTTGGCTCCTAGCGTAAAGGTTTATATTGGATTATGTGTGTGAGGGGAGAAAAGAGAAGGCTGCAAAAATTCGAGTCAAGTTGAAGAAAAATGCGTTTTTGTTTTGTCGCAATTAAACAGGTTTCAGCCTCAGCAGCAAAAAGGGAGATGATATTAAGGGGGAGGAGACACTGGGGAGAAAGCATTTTTAGCTGTTGGGTAGGTGAGAGTCATCTTCGAAGAATGCCAAGCAAATGTAACTTAGCTCCGTACCTTCATTCTTCTGCTGTGCTATTCCTATATTGGCTTTAATTACTCAAAAATTCTCTGAATTTTTTTTTTTGAGACCTTTGGGGAAGGCCTCGTGAATCATCAGAAACTGAGATTGCTTGATCTTTTTCTTCTTCCTTTAAGGTTATCGCTCCCCAAATGTGTATTTTTCAAGTTCACTGTAGTAAAGGAGATGCAATTCTGTGTGTGGTGTTTTTAATAACAGATAATCCTAACCTTATGTGATAACTGAGTTGAGGACATTCACGTGTACTCTGAATTGTTGACTTTCCAAAGCTTCCTGAATATATTAGTGCCTACAAATTTCAGCTCTCCTTATGCCAGATGAAGCCACCCTTGCTTCTGGGTTTGGGTTGGTGATCTGAGAATTCTGTGTGGTTTTGTGCAATGGTTGGCAGAACAAGTGTCAATGGCTCGTTTGGAAAGGTCAAACATTAAAGGTTTAACAACCTGGAACTGGAATGGACTTAAGTCATCATTTACTCTGCCATAAAATATAATCCACTCATAATTTGTCCTTGATCAGTTTTAATTACGTATATGTAACTTCACTAATGACTTCTTGAACAAAACAAATTAAAAGGAAGGTGACAATCAGGGAGTCACGTGACTCGAGCACATTTGCATAGCATCTAGTGTTAAAACTCCCTGCAGTACCTGTATTTCCAAATGTTGGAGCTTGTATGTGATTGTATAACTAGGCGGTCGTTCTGAGAGCAATGGGTGTTTGTTCATACCTTGCGCTTTTGCAACACGGAACATGAAATAAGCTGTCTTTATTATATTAGCTGGGAATGTTGCAGCATTTTTAATAAGGAAAGCTAAAATTGCATCAACCGAAATGCCATTTTTGCTAGGATTTTGTCCTGTAGTGAAAATTCGTGGTTCTCTTTTCATACTCACAGTGGGGATTTTTTTCTTTTTCAGCTTTTTGCTGTTTAAGGTAAGGCAGCTACGCAGATGGGGATACCTGACCTAATGGGAAAACCCCACGTATCACATGTACGTGTGATCACATTCCTCGCAGCCTGGAGCAGGCAGCACCTGCAACCAAACCGCACCAGCCGTGGCCGGCGGGGATTTGTGCCTGGTATCACCTGCTCTTCCAAACCTGGCACCTGCAGACAAACAAAGAGTACGCTTGATACGATCCTAACCCTTCTGGTTTGGGTAGAGCTTATCACGAGTTATACCAGGCTTGGGCTTGCTTCATATATTTGTGGTTTGTTGTGCCAGCGCTCAAAACTCTGGTAGATGCAGGTACAGTGTGAGTGCGTGAAGGAATATGTTGCGTTATTGTTTCCATACCAGACCCAGATCAGCGTTACCTGTGCCAAATTTGGGCTGGCTCTGCACAGCCTTGTAACTGTGTCTGTGGTACATCCCAGCGATCTTTGTGGCCTGAGAGTGTGAGGATGCAAATGCCACGTACGTGCAGTCAGCTTAGGTAAACCGGTATTTATTGGACTCTGAAAAGCATCTGGATTTCTTATGAGCAGCCCCCTCACCCCGCAAGGGGGCCCCAGAAGCAGTAACGACATGTATTACAGACAGAAAGAGCTGAACATAAATCACCTGGGGTCGTCAGGAGCTGTCTGTGTATTCCTCCTGGAAAGAGAAGATATTAAGGCAGGCAGTAATGAACCTCTCTAGGATTTCAGATACTTAGATGCAACATGTGTATGGTCTCAACTTGTAATGAACACTGTTAGACCATACCTAATGGTTATAAAGCCTCCAGTCGTGACAGTCTAAGCACAGACAGGTAGATGGGGGAGTTCAGGTGGAGCGAGTACGTGTAGATACGTTACAGCAATTTTAATGCTATGGAATAATAGGCTGCATTCTTCTCTAGCTTCTCTGTCCTGTTTCTCATTAGGCCAATGTCCAGGTGTACAAAATAAGAAATATTTTGGTTCAGTGCACCTTGTTGGAAGTAAGAGGAAAGAACTAGATCTATAGGTTGCTGGCATCTGAAGAAATAAAAACACGAAAGACTTTCTCTCTTATATTTTTCCCTGACACAGAAGCAAAGCCTGCTCTTTTCTGAGTTCTGCAAAACAACATCCTTGTTGGCTGATGTTTTGTGAAGTGTATCCGTGGCAGTATTCATGTTTTCTTCTAGAAAAAATCCTGCACCACCAGGGTAATAACAGTGGGAGCATTGCTTTTCATTTTGTAATTAGTGATTTTTTTTTTTTTTCAGATGATAAGTACTTCAATTGTCATAGCTTGTTCCAGCCAGTTCTTGCTAGTAACAGTTTGTTCTGTTCTCATGCTTTGCTGTAACCCAAAGTATTTGGAAACAATGCAAGACATCCTGTAGTTCAGGATCCCTTGGAACAGAGAACTTAAACCTCTCATGCCCAAACAAAAACAAGGATCATCACGTGCTTATGCAAACGTGTGTCTGGATTTTGTTTGTTTATGACAATTCTCCCATTTAAAAAAAAAACCAAAACAACACACACTCTCTCCTGCCCTTTGTACTATGTCTGTACAGATAAACTTATATTTCTTAAATGACTGTCAAAAGTCTCAGTTATTAGCAGTATTTGCTGCTGTTTAGCAAGTTTTTCTTAGCATAGCAATATTTTTTTCTAGTAGTACTTAGCTGTGTCATCACCATTATGAAAATTCTGTACTGCAGTGATAAATATGGGAACTGTAATCTACTTGACTGTAAACCTAGTGAATCAATAGACCCAGCATATCACTAAGTCAAAATCCAGCAAACTGAGTTTGGCAGAATTGAGTCATCTACAAAGTGTGTGCTTCCAATTTTTTTGCATTAGTATTTTTCTCCTGCTCCTTTTTAGAACCACTGACATCTGATGTTGCTCTGATCTTCCCAGGTACACTTGCTCTCCCTGTTCTGACCCCAGCAGCGTTTGCCCTTTTCCTTCAGCCAGCACTGGTGCTCATTTGCTAAACCGATGGAACATTGTTTTGTTTGGTTCCGTTCTCAGTTGGATTAGTGACCTGAAGTGGCTCATTGTAGGATCAAATTGGCCGTAGTCCTGGCCTAAAGGGCCGAAAAGGGAAATGGAATTGCACAGCCTCTGTGGAAACCACAGCCTGCATCACCAAAGGAACAGGAGGATCTGTAGCTCATTATCCCTTTTGACTTGAACCTACATGGTTTAAATCAAACCTGGTTCACCAAAATGGTATCTTCTTCTGTCAGCAGATGACACAAGCTTTTGTTTGAGCAGCATCAAGACTACCATCCCATTCTAGTCTGAAGAAGGTTTCTTTGGGGACAGTGCTGTTACAGCAGCTCCTCCCTGGTTCCTCTGATCCTATAGCCATTGTGTAGCCCAGTGATTTCCAGGACTACCTGGGGAACCTGGTTTGGAAACAAGTCTATATTTTAAATAAATAAATAAACAAACAATCCAGGGAAGTAGCATTAACTCAGTTTGGACCTTGATCTGGTCCTGCAATAGTAATACCAGCACAGGGGGCAGTGCAGGACAGGCTCCATAAGCAGGGTCCAGTTAAACTTGGTACCTGGTAGGAGCAGCAGTCAAAATCCTCCCTTGTAAGCAAATATTCTCCTCAGGGAGGATATCAGTTCTCTGTCAAAGAAGCCTCCTTTCTGGAATCTACTTGGAGGCTGGCATGGCCGGCCAGGCAGGGGGTTTCTCTGGGCAGTGCAGCTTTAGGGCATTTAGGAAGGCAGAACATCAACAAGGTGTCAAGAGTATCTGCATCAAGTTGGCTGCCGAAGGGGACAGCCACCTTGGATTGGGTTTTAGCCCAGGTGGGATGGGCAGCATTTCTTTCGTTCCCTTTTCCACTTGTGTCCCTTAAACAACTTGTGGCTGTGTGTACCCTGAGGGTGTTGTGAAGAAGTTTATTTGCATTGAATGTTAGCCTCGTTTCAGTTAACAGTACTTGGAAACGCCTGGCTGACAGAAAAAATAACATTTCCCACCTAAGGATGTGGTGAGCCTTGAAAAGAGGCTACCAGGTTAGCTCAGTTACTCACAGTCCCCGGAGGTAACCGGATGTGCCTGTAAGAAGGCTGGAGGGTTGCTCTCCAGGCTGTTAGCAGAAGGGATGGCAGAGAAAGGAGGATTTTCAGGGATGACAGGGAAAGCTGCCTGACTTGCCGTGAGGTGGTGGCAAGTTGCCTGAACCCTCAGTCTCCAGCGGATTTCTCAGCCTGTAGCTCCCGGTCCCTCTGCCTCGTGGTTGTCTGTGCATGTGAAATGTTGGTCAAATACTTGATAGAAGATTAGGTAATGATATTCCCTTTTCTTAGCTCCAGGAGAAGTTTCCATTACTAACCTCTCTTACCTAGTAATAATTCAAGTAAATAGAGTATGAAGTAGTGTAATATTAGCTTTGTAAGTGCAAAAGTAGTTATATCCCTTGGGTGACAGCAATACTCACCAGGAAGTAATTTTTTTAACTATTTTTTTCCTACTTTAAATACTTTGTGCTGACACCTACACCTTTCTCACTCCAACACAGGAAACAGACCTGAGCTCTTATGTCAGTAGTTCAGTGGGGAAATCTGCCTAAATTCATAGAATCATCAAATGATTTGGGTTGGGAGGGACCTCAAAGAT